GGACGTAAGTGAAAAAAATTGACCATTAAAGAGTTCGTTCAAATTCCGTATTTACATCTTTTTATTTTTTGGACGTTCTACGAGAAATTTCGTCAAGCCGCCGCCATCCTATGGAAACAAATAAAATTTTACGAGACATAAGGGCAGGAATTCAGAGGTCAATTCATTGTCTGCTGCAATCAGCTGTGCACCCTCCCCCACTACACACCTGCTTTCCATCAAGCCATTTACAACGACATATCAACAGAGGCTCCACAACCTTTCTCCGCCAGATCGTCAAGTATCAGCCGTATCTCGCGTCTCTCCTCCGGTACACAGCACCGTAGTGTGGAGTTGCATTAGGTAACGTGAGATACGGCTGATACTTGCGCATTAGTTTCTGTTATGGATCAGTATCAACAGTCCTGCCAGTAACGTTACTGTATTATCAATGTTACTTTAGTTATAGCCTGATATATGATAGCTAACTTTACAATGTTGTGATGTGACGTTAGCTAACATTCTGTAGCTAACGCCTGTCACTCACCAAGATAGCTGCCCAGTTTTCCACTGGTTCTCCTCACACCACAGCTCAATTTCTCTCCGATGGCCGTTATTTCTTCTAATCCTTGGCTGCTCCTGGTATCTTGGACGCCTAGCAGGCTCATAATTATAAGGTTGTGGTCCGTCATATGCATTTGAATATTCATGTTCAACTTCTTCTGTGTCTTCTGTGTCGAAACTAGCATTGGGATCCATGTTTATTAATACGTTACACCGGCCGCTCTCCCCCTTGTGTCCCCCGTGTTACGTCACACGCGGGAGGTCACGTGCCGAGGCTTTTTTATGCGGAAGTGAACATTTCTTACAAAAACGACGCCAGATGTCACTGTAGTGTATATTTCTGTATATTTTTTGGAAAATCTAGTGTATTCATCATTTTCCTACACATTTATTCACAGGTGTCTTTAACCTGGAAGTTGCTCTTTAAGTTGTGGTTGTGTTTCACTTTGCTAATCAGTCTGTTTCCCTACCTTGGGAACGCGGGTCATTACAATGTCACGATGTTGATAATCTTGGAATAGTGTTAGATTTCTTGCCAAAGGATTACTTCACATTGATGCTATTAGCTTTGTTCGTTATTCTCGCGTCCAGGAGAGAAGTTTAGGTAAAAAGAGACCAATGGAGTCTCTGGCATAAGGTTCAGATGGGTACTTTAATTAAAATGACGCGGTAATGTTACAGGCAGAATATGGTTCAAAGAGAAAGAGAGGGGGAAGCTGCAGCTCCCTCTCGCAGTCGCGGCCGAGGAGAAAAAAATAATCCACAAAGCTCCGTCACCTGACTATATATCTCATTTGGCTCCTCCTCTTCAATGGCGGCTGTGGCGTAATCTTCCGCCCTCCTTTCACCAATGTCCGTTGTTGCGCATAACAGATCATGATTCAGACATTGTACATTCAATACATAACTAAACACGCCTTTTCTCCTCATATTCTCTTTCATGACTTTTCATTTATTGCATTTTAACGGCTGCAATCGTTACTTTTCCGTAAAACCTGAAGTCAAGCTACTGTTGGCATTTCGGAGATCCCTTCCGGAATAGCTTTTCAAAATAAACTTTAACCACAGGCGAAAGCTAACCCGGAAGTATTTTCACAATAAAACAGTTATAAAATTACTGGTGTTTAATCTATTTTATATCATTAAATATTGATTTTAATTTCTAACAATGCCAACTGTATTGTCTTCAAATGTTTGCTTCTCTTGTGACGATGGATGAAGGCGTTCGACATGGAGTTAATGCCAGAGTAAACAGGTCATGACTAATGGGAAACAGAAGTTCAAACCCAACCCCTCATTATTATAATATGACAGGTACTCTACCACGTCTGAGACCAACACATGCACTGGCTTTTTCCTTTTCTTTCCTCCTCGTTCTCATTTTCAACGTTCCTCTGTCTGACATTTTCAGTCAGCTCAATATCTTCTGACAGAATATCCTCTGACATTTGGCTGGCTTGACACATTCAGCAGGGGAAGAGAATTCATAATCAACCTTCATCTCATTTGTGTAAAAGCATTCCCCAGAGCAGACAAAATCACGAGAGCAACGTGAAGGAGTCTCATCTTGGTTGCTTTCTCCACATCATACGTGAATGTGTGGGTGCAAACCCCTTTTGGCAAAACATGGAAATAAAGCAACCCAGGCCAATCTGGAGAGAGAGATCTGCATATCCTTGAAGAGTTGAGTTCCTCTAACTCCCAAATACTTCCTCTTCAGCTTTCAGATCTTTTAAGCAAGCTTCCAGCTCAACTCCTCACGAGGAAATGGGATATTTAATGGTATTAAATCCCCCCTCTGTGGTGGAGTTTCTTTCAACTTGTCTTACTCCACTCTTTAACTTCTTCTTTCCATTTCCATAAAGTACTATGTAATATGTAGCAGGTTCAATCAAGCAGGAGTGTGCTCAGGATTATATTTTGTGTTTTTGCCAACTCCTCAGTTTGACACAAGTACTTCATGCAAACTAACCGTAAAAGCATTTCATCTCTATTCACCCAATAACACATTTATTTCAGAATTGTACATTCCTGGAGGTCATTGGTGTTCTCAGTTGGTGTCTTCACTCTATTCATTATTAGACCTGCTTCCCTCTGTGTATGCGCTGGTGCTTCAAAGATAGGCCCCTGGTATGCCTGTGAGGCAGCTGAGAGAGAAACGCTGATAAAAAGGTCAAAAAGGCACCTTCTTTCAAGTCTAAAGGCTAACAACTCTATTGAACGTTTCAGTTCACCTGATTTTAAAATAACTTTTCTGATCAATCTATATATTTATGTATATATATTTGTATATATAATAACTTGTCAAATTAAACATGTATATTTTCTATTTCAACATGTATATTTTCTTTTATTTTCTTTCTATTCTTGTTTATCTCTGTTTTATTGTAAAATTGGGATCAATAAAGTACCATTTTATCTTATCTTATCAACCAAAGAAGATACAGTTGAGGGACAAAGGATCTGAGGCCTTTAAAAGCCACAGGGACC